CCTATCTGAAGATGCCCTGTCTCTCAAATGGGATGGGCTGCATCATGTTTACTTCTCATGAGTACTTTTGGGAAAGGATTGAGATATCTGTAATAGACTAAATAGCACAACTGAGGTGTATGATTCCACCTTGCAAGAATTATGATTAGGAAGAATTTTTTTCAGTTTCTGGCCTTAGAAACTGAATGGAAGAAAGTAGCTTCAGTGTTAGGAATACCTTGCCTGGTCCAGAGCAAAGGCAGGGGGCAGGGAGGGAAGTAGCTCATCAGAGAAATCTTGTGCACCATCAAAATTCTAAAAAAAAAAAAAAAAAAAAAAAAAAAAAAAGACTGTCCTTTTAAATATACTGAGATGGTATATATGAAGTGTTGAAGTGCAGATGGCAGGGACAGCTTGTCCTGGTTGGACACAAATGTAGAAGGAGCTTTTAATTTCATCAACAAAGCAAGAGTCTGTAGCTGCAGTGTTTGTATGTGCATATTGAGACATCTTCATTTACTCAGTAGTATTTAAAAGCGGTGAAACATTTTATTTTCAAATGCTTACTCCTTTATGTGTTGTTATTTAAAATAAGAGACTGTATTGTAGTATTCTTCATCTCACTTTTAGAAGGCTGCTGTATCTTGGTAACAAGAGAAAGGAATATACAGGAAAAGCTTATTTCCACTAAAAGCATTTTAACAGTTGGTAGGGAATTTGTTGATGATGAGTAATTAATGTCAACATCAAAAAAAATATTTCACAACTCAGAAATAAGATTTCAGTTTAACTTTCAAGCACAACTTTTATAAAATTTGAAAGGACTTACTTTACTCACAAATATATTACTTTGTGTAGGAAGGCAAAAATCACCACAGGAAAAGGAAGAAAGCTGATCGTGGTGATGGCCCTTTATCATCAGAATCCTTATCAGAATCGGATCAGACAGAGGAGGTCAGTGTGAAATCTCAATTTCAGATGTTATAATGCTTTTAGCTTACTGATTCACATGAGCAAATGAACGAGCTAGCTTAGATTTAACATGTTGTTGAAACTTTTCTGCTCTGTACAGTTGAATTTAAAGGGTGTAGCACAGAGTTGTTTGTATTTTTCTCTTTAATAAAAACTTTCAGTAAGAATTGTTTAGTACAGCTCCTGTCACCTACAAGTAATTTTGAATTAAGTTTCTTGAAAATTTTCCAACTTTTTATGGATAGTATAGAGCTCAGTGAAATGAGGCTAAGTGATTGGTGTCGTGTCCTTCACAAGATTTCTCTCTGATGTTTGTGAATAGATAAGCAGATTTCAGGATGGCTAAAATTTTTTGGCTCCCTCTTCCAGAGAATTAAAAAATTTTGGACGTAATAATTTTACTGTCACCCTTGTGTATATCTACCTTGAGGATTTGTATTCTTGTAGGATTACAAAAATTGGGAAGGTTCCAATGTGTTGCATTTTTTCATTAAGAATTTTACCACCTTACTAGCTTACTAACTTTACCTTTATTATCTCTGCTGTTTCTTGTTGTGCTGTGTATTAAAAGCAGAGTGTGTTCCCAAATAGATGTTAATAGGATAAATGCATATTCTAGAATATAACACTGATAACCAGTGCTGCTTCATGGGTTATTGTTCAGTATGTTCTGCCATCTACCATCATTCATTTACATGCAACAAAAGCTGAAACTTTCATTTAAAACAGCATTTCCAAAGCTGCTTTCCCATTACATTTGATTTATTATTCTTTTTTAGGTGCAAGCAAAAAAGAAGAAAAATAATGAGGAAAAAGAGAAAACAGCAAGTATCCTCCTTACTCATAGTTTTAGGATATAAATACTCTGTACTTGGTTAAGTTCCAATTTCACATTTTTCAGTAATACAGATGTTTATAGCAAAAGTCTACTGTCACATGAATCTAACAATTTCTCTACTTACCTGCTGAAGGTCATTTTTTTTCAATTGTTGAATTAAAGGAAGAATTTGTCACTATAGATATTTGTCACTATATAGATACCTATGATTTGAGATTTATGTAAGTTTAACAATTAACTGTAGTAAATATTTTAATCTTTATCAACCTACTAAAACTACTAATACCTATATAGTATTGGGTAGTGTAGCAGTTTGCCACACAGATATCAGTGTTGTTCCTTTGTTAGTGCTGTGTATAATTAATTCTTCGTTGATAAGCTCCCTCTACCACACTGTGGTGCAAGTGCTGGAGATTCTAGCCAATAGTTGAACTATTTAATTTTGCACAGTAGATATAAGCACTTACTTTAAATATGTGAGCATCCTAGTTATTCCCACATATATAAGATGTCACTGCTTGTCAAAGCATTTCCTTAGTACTTTCTCAGAAATCTATAAAGCACTGAAAATAATTTAAAAGGTTAGGAAAGGTAATGGTGACAGTGCTGAGAGGTGTGAAGTAGCCAGACCATAATGGAGGTAAATTGAAGACCACTCATAATGGTGCAAATTACTGGGTAAAATACAAATTCTCTTTTTGTGATTTCTCAATGGGCTTTTATAGAAGTCTCTTTTGAAATGGCTTTGTAAAAGATACCCTTTCTGTGCTCTCATTTTGCATTAGCAGAATTTAATAGATGGCAATTTTCTTATAAATGCCATTTAATTTTATTATTTTTTTAGGATAAAACAAAAAGGAGAAAGAAGCACAAGAAACATGGTAAAAAGAAGAAAAAGAAGATTGCTGGTTCAAATTCGGATTCGGAATAGTATTTTAAAAAAAAACAAGACTATCAACAGAAGTGCAATGACTAAAGGAAACTTAAACTGTGAAATGACAGCAAACTTTACCAAACTGCATGAGTTTTCCTGTGTTTTAGAAATATTCCTAATCTTTCAGTAGCCAGCCAGATGCAGCTGTGCTGGGAACGACCATTGTTATTGCCTGCTGCTTAATACATGAGGTACAACTTTTATAAAATTTCAATAAGCGGTGTTAGATGTTTGAAACGTTACGAGATGGTAGTCCAGCTGAGGTGTAAAATACTGGAAAATAAGAGTTAAACTTTTTAGATAGTAAAGGTAGTCTGTTAAAGCATTAGTAATAGTCTTTATTTGTAAATCAGGACAAATAAAATCCCAAGTTCATCCTGCAGGTTAATATTATACATAAACTATTACAAGCTGGTGTCTGCTAACAGCATTTGCAAAATGGAAAACTAATGATAACATTTAAAATGCTGCCTTTGTAGAAATGTTTATCATCTGCCCCATTACCTTCTTCATGCTTATGAGAAAGGGAATGCTACCATTTTGGCTAACTGAATAGGGTGCCTTTGTCTTTGATTCTCGCAAATCTCTGCTGTTTTTAATCCATGCAGCATCTCTGATTCTAAGGAAGCCAGAACTATTGTCAGCAGACTTTTTCTGAATAAGCAGTTCTGGGCTTCTAAGCATGTGCTTCTGCATTAAGCAAGAGCAATGACATTTTGCAGTTTAACTGACATTAAAAACCTGAAGATTTTACCTCTGCTTCTTTGAAATAGCGATAGATCTTTGCTAGTAAATACGCATATTTCATTTAATGTAATTTTGGTTTAGTTGAACACTTCTTGCAAACACTGGTAGCTTTCTTTGCATTATCTTTAGAATTGTTTTGCATGATTTGTACCATTTTTAAATTAACAAAATGCAAGTAATAATTTGTTGTAACCAGTTCTATGAATTATGTTCCACATGCAGAGTTTCATGTATGTATTTAGTTATTCTTATAGTTAAGTTCATTGCTGTGTTTAAGTGCACACTTGCTGAAGATATTTAGCACGTAAAAAGCAGGGTTTTGATACCTTAACAGCTTCATATTGAAGCTGATTTTACTCTAAGCAAGTTCAGTGGCAGACCTGTTATGTGATGTGTCTTGTTAGATAAAAAAAACTACTGCCAGAATCTCATTAAAGATACTGTTTAAACAGTTTGTATTTATATTTTTGTATTTGAGGGCTACAGAATGTTGACCTAAACCATAAAGCTGTTTTACTTTAAATTAGTTGCTTTAGAAATTGGAAAAAAAACTTTTATAAATTAAATGTGCACACAAGAAAACACAAGCAACCGTTCGATTTTAGTTTTTACTTGAAATTCTCATTGTATCTTCCATTGAATTACCCATTGCTGGGCCTCCTGTTAGCCTTTAAAAATTGCCTGTCCATCCCAAGGGGTCAACTATAGATTGTACTCTTGATCCACCCCTTTTTTCATTGCACAGGTGCTAACTTAGAACTTACCTCTATTGCATACAGATGTTTTAAATAGTGTATTGCCAAGAATTTCAAAACCTTTAAGACCTTGATGATTATTCTGCGAAGCATAACTGAAAACTGTGGTAGAAAGATGATTTCATATCGCCATTCTACAGAGAGATTGACTTTTCAGGTTAAGTAGTTCGGGAAAATACAACCACTGGGTTGCAGCAATGTCCCTCTAAACCAGAATAATAATATTTTGATCAGATACTTGATCCTGTTGGGCTTGATGTTACTGATTTTAGATGCTGTTTTGTCAGCGAGGTTAAAATAAGGCAAGATGCAGTGAACAGCAGGGGTTTGGTCTGGGGTTTGTATTTGGTTTCGTTGGGGTTTTTAGGTTGTGGTGTTGCAGTTTTGATAAAAGAACTTGTAATGAACCATAGCATATATGCTCTGTCCTGTGTGATACCTTATTTGACATTTACACAAGTACCTGCAACAGAAAAAAATAAAACGGAAATGAGAGCCCCACTCTTCCAAAATACACAAGCCGGTATGTCATTTTAATTGTCTGAATGTAACTATTTGTTCTGGGTACCTGTGTGCATCAAATGCTGCCGTCACGCTTTGGAAGTGGTGTAGCTGCTCAAGGGGCTTACAGGCTTTGCCTGTAAAAGCTGCTTTAATACCGACAGTGAAATGTTTCTGATTCCAACACATTAACAAAAAGGCCGCCGTGTACGTGAGAAGGTGGCGTGAGTTTCGGGTGGCACTAGGCAGCCCTCAGGCATGTTCCAAGCTTGAGCAGTGGGACAAAGCCGAGAATGAGCAATGTGGGAATAAAAGTGTTTTAATAGATTTGTCTTCTGATGGCAGATGAACTAACAGTATTGTATGTAGTATTTAATTTTTAGCTCTTCTTTCCAGAAACATTTCTAGACGTTTGACGTTCAGTTATTTTCTTTTATACAACTGCTATCTTGTAATGTATGGTAAAATTTCTCTTTGTCATGACTGTATGTATGTATTTATGTATGAC